TGTATGTATGTATGTATGTATGTATGTATGTATGTATGTATGTATGTCGAGGGAAACATACATACGTAGAAACTATGGGTATGTATGTATGTCTGGGTGATGTATGTCTGGGGAAACAGACATACCTAGAAACTAGAGGTATGTATGTATGTCAAAGGTATGTATGTCTGGGGAAACAGACATCCCTGGAAAATGATAGGTATGTATGTATGTCGGGGAAACTTACATACCTAGAAAACTATAGGTATGTATGAATGTATGTCTGGGGAAACATACATACGTAGAAACTATGGGTATGTATGTATGTCTGGGGAAACATACATACCTAGAAACTAGAGGTATGTAGGTATGTCAAAGGTATGTATGTCTGGGGAAACATACAGACCTGGAAAATGATAGGTATGTATGTATGTCTCGGGAAACATACATACCTAGAAAACTATAGGTATGTATGTATGTCTGGGTGTGTGTCTGGGGACACATACATATATGTATGTATGTCTGGGGAAACATACATACCTAGAAACTAGAGGTAGGTATGTATGTCAGAGGTATGTATATCTGGCGAAACACCCATACCTGGAAAATGATAGGTATGTATGTATGTCTGCGGAAACATACATACCTAGAAAACTATAGGTATGTATGTATGTTGGGGCTAACATACATACTTTGTTTTCGGGGGTTAGTAAGTATCTGGCAGGCATCCCCTGGCTCCCCCCCCCTATCAAGGTATGTATGTATGTATGTATGTCGAGGGAAACATACATACGTAGAAACTATGGGTATGTATGTATGTCTGGGGAAACATACATACCTAGAAAACTATAGGTATGTATGAGTGTATGTCTGGGGAAACATACATACGTAGAAACTATGGGTATGTATGTATGTCTGGGGAAACATACATACCTAGAAACTAGAGGTATGTATGTATGTCAAAGGTATGTATGTCTGGGGAAACATACATACATACCTAGAAACTCGAGGTATGTATGTATGTCAAAGGTATGTATATCTGGGCAAACGTACATACCTGGAAAATGATAGTTATGTATGTATGTCTGGGGACCCATACATACATACCTAGAAACTAGAGGTATGTATGTATGTCAAAGGTATGTATCCCTGGGGAAACATACATACCTGGAACATGATAGGTATGTATGTATGTCTGCGGAAACATACATACCTAGAAAACTATAGGTATGTATGTATGTCTGGTTGTGTGTCTGGGGACACATACAGACCTGGAAAAATATAGGTATGTATGTATGTCTGGGGAAACATACATACCTAGAAACTCGAGGTATGTATGTATGTCAAAGGTATGTATATCTGGGGAAACATACATACCTG